AGCTCAAGTGCTGGTCCCCACAGGAAGTTCCCCCATTTTAGAAGTAAGCAAAGGACAAAAATTTACTTCTGGCCCAGGCACACTGCAAGCACCTCAGGGCCTGCCTGGGGACTTGAGGCACAGGGTCGGGAACTGGACCCCCCTCCCACAACAGGCATCCCTCCAGCACCTCGGGCCCCACACAGAGACCTGAGGTATGGAGCCAGGGACCAGATCCCCCACCACAACTAGGCACACTGCCAGTGCCAAGGAGCATGCCAAAAATATCACCTCCATGTGTGTGGCCCACCACAGCACCACAGTAACCACAGCTGCCTCGAAAGTAGATAGATGCCACAACCACCAAGCAGATGGTCTGCCAGCCACTGGAGTGCACTGACACAAGGAGATTAACCAGCAGAGACCAAAGAAAAGAAGAGGATGTCTCTCTCCACAAAGTCCATTCCAGAGTGACAGAAGCATCTGCTCTATGATAATATTGGGGGACCTGAACACACCTCTCAGCATTGGACAGATCATCTAGGCAACAAATCAACAGAGTAGCCATTACTGTTTCAGAAGGAAAGAAGAAATCTAGGGTTATCAGAGATGGAAGCGGGGAGGGAGAGGGGGATAGGGAGAGACTGGACAAGGGGCATAAAGAATAAGTATGGTTTGTAACTATATATGCTAGTAATATTGATTTGATCAACATATGTCAATGTTGAACCCCCAAAATATGTATAATCAATTATGATTCAATAAAAATTTTTTTTAAAAAAAGAACTGGACCCTGGGTTGGCCTTCTGGCTCTTTTCCCTCAGAAATCTGATGAAGATGGAGCGTCAGCTGAGTGACAACATTGCCTGGGTTGGGGTTAACTCTTGATTGGTGGGTGCTTCACTGTGAATACCTGCTGGCTTCCCTGGGCACAGTGACTTGAACTGAGCATGACTTTTTCAGGGACCCTGGAAACTATGCCCAGGTGGACCCACACCCACTGTTGTGGATCTCATCTCCTCACTCCACAGCTGTCATGTAGGAGCCAAGAGACTGGCCCTGGACTAGGATGTGGAGTATGGCAGGAACTCCCCTACAGAGATAAGCCAGACTTGCCATGCTGGAGGCTGTGGTTCCTTTCCTACCTTCCCCTAAGTGAATCTGAGGCCAAGTGTGCTCTCTGCTAGTCCCCATGAGTCTGTATGTCTAGTTGAGCCTAAAAATAAAGATATCACCCTACTGACGTTGGGCTTATTGGTGACTTGCGTTGGCTAATGGGCTGTGTGCAGAAGGGACCATGTGCCAGTTCTGCACAGAGGTGTTGCAAGTTTCCACCAATCCTCTTGTGCTCCTGCACTCAGTGAGGGGAACCTCATACCCCTCTAGTTCCTGCTCCTTTAGGCTGGGTCCCAAGCATAATGAGACACTGGGAGCAGGCCTGAACCAAGTACACAGCCAGAATCCCAGCCAAGCCCAGCAAGCCACAGCTCTCGCAAACCCAGGTATGGGAAACAAATGTTTATTGTATGGCACTGTGATTCTTAGAATTGTTTGTTACTGCAGCCAACGCTGACTCAAACACCATGTGACAGGGAAGCATGTGTCATAGAAGCACACATCAGGGATTGATCTAGAGCCTTCCTGAAAGAGAATGAAAGGCAGCTGGAGGGCTGTCCCCTCCTTCCCCCCCAGTGCCAGAGCTGCTGTGAACCTCCATATGGAGACACACCTGACTTTTGGCATCAACAATCCAGGCCCCAGCAGGTGTAGGAAGGGAGTTTGGTGGGAGGAGGAAGTAAATTAGAATCAATGTCAAATGCCTCCCCATTCACAGTCCTCCAGACCTGGGCTGTCTGTTTCTCTCACTGCCTAGGTGCTGTAGTTAAAAGGCTCTTGGACTCAGTGTTGACATATTGGCTTAGCTATCATGGAGAAGCAGCAAGATGGCTGGTCTCAGATTCCCGCAACCAGTATGTACTCTCCAGGCCTTTCTGATTCCTAATATTAAAGGACCCCAAAGAAATTCACATCAATATCAGTCCAGCCAAATTCTAGCTAATAGATATTCTTCTGCCAAACAGCAGTGTAGCATATTGGATATATAATACCCACACGTACTGATGCACAGGGAAGGCACCTGTGGAACTCTAATGCTCCCTGTGGCCCAGGGACAACCCAAGTGTTCCAGCTTGGGCTGTACAACCAGAGTTTAGGTTTGCTTCACTTCACTCAGAGAAACCAGGGCCATGCCCCCACCCGCTCAGGTGCTTGGACCAAGCCTTCAGAGTTGACAGCACAATCATCTGTTGGGGGGTGGGGGGGAAGACCCAGCCCTCCACAAACCAACATAACATGGAGAAAGAGAGGAGGAATGTAGACTTGGGAGTGGGATGCGGGAAGAAGCAGGAATTACAGCAGTGGGCTCCAGCTTTTTTCTAAAACACTGGAGCCTTTTAAACAAGATCTTACCTGGAACAGAAGTATATGTAAATAGATAAAAGTACAGAAGATCAGGGAGAAGCAGGGGTGAGGATTCAGAGCCTGTGTGTGCAGCATTTCTTTCCTCACTCCCAAAGGCGCTCCTGGAGCTGAGGGTGGAATGCCAGCACTATACAGAGTTTGAAAACCACTAGATGAGAGAAACTTGGGGGCATGGAATAGGCTTATGGAAAGCTGAAACAAAAAGGTAGTTGCCACCAGGGCCGTTTTTAGGCATTTTGCTGTGAAGAGAATGGAATTAATGCATAGGCATCCCTCATCACAGCTTGGCAGCTGTGGGGTACACAATGGAGAAGAGGCCGTCCACATCCTTCTTGAGGCGGACAGACTGACAACCGACCTTTCTCAGGTCTTCTTAGAGGCAAGCCTCCTTATCCTTACCTTCAGTGAGGCAGGACAGATTTGCTTGGGAAAGAGTTAGATCTTCCTTCTTTGCCCTGCCTTCTCCCCCTTCCCTCCCACCCCTTATATCCAAGCCGCTGGCCTCTTCTGAGCTCAGAGGTCTCCAGTGCTGTCTCTACTTTGGCCTCCCACAAGGAGGGATCCCAGGGAAGGATCCCAAGGGATCTGTCCATCTCATCAGCACATAGCTCCCCACTTCGCATGGAGACAAGCCCCCAGACCCACCTATGCACACCACGTCCATGAAGCCATACATCCCGTAGCAGATCTGAAAGAGGAGATCTTGGCGCTGCCATTTTGCCGAGGGACTGAAGGTCGACCAGATGAGCCAAGAGATACTGGCGATGAGGAAGAGGGAACCCAGGATGGCAGCTGCAATCTGCACCTTCTCAATGACCGTCAGAGAGATGGCCTGCCACTGGGGAGAAGAGAGCAGCAGGTGAGCTGTGGTTGGTGCGCACCCCATTCCCACCCCTCTCCCTTCGGCTACCCCAATGGCTCACTTCTGTTTAGGATTTAAACCAGGGCTTTCCAACTTGCAGTACAATGGACATTTTTCAGTTTTCTGAGTTTCACATTGAACTTTTGATGTGGAGGAAATCTATATCACACCAAATGATCAGACATCATTGCAAGGAGGGGGTTCTGGGCAGGCACAGCTGGGAAGAAAGACCTTTATACTTGATTATAATACAGTAGTAAAATGGGAGAGAAAGTGAAATGCAGAACTAGTGTTCCAGGGCCCCAGAATATTCTTTTCAGAGCAACGCCATCTATTTTCTCGCTAACAGATGCTGAGAGATCACAGGCCTTTCTTTTGCTTGTTTTCTGTACCACCACCTTACATGACATTTAAAAATATGCTAGAAATTACGGGCCGGCCCGGTGGCGCACTGCTGTAGTGCGCCAATTGGGAAGCGCGGTGGCGCTCCCGCCGAGGGTTGGGATCCCACATACAGACCGGCCGCTCACTGGCTGAGCAAGGGGTGGGAGCAACACCGAGGGTTGCAATCCCGTGGCCGGTCACGAAAAAAGACAAAAAGGAAAAAAAAAAAAAAAAAAGGGAAATTACCAATAGACAAGGAGAGGACACAGGATGTAGGGGACAGAGAAGAAAAACAGCTTATAATTTACTGAATGCAAATCAATAGTGACATTTCATTGTTTGACAGAAAAAGCACTGTACTTATACCAATATTGATGGATGAGTTGAAAGCTGAGGTGTGGGTGAGTTTCAACTCTGAAATTCTGTGATTCTATGGCTGGTCTGGGCAGCACAGGCCTAAGTGAGCCAAGAGTTGGATTTTAGTTTGGGATTTATTCATACACTCACTCAATGAATATGTACTGAGTATTTTCTACGTGCTAGTCACCGTGCTAGGTGCTGGACATAAAGCACTAGACAAAAAAAGAGACAAGGTCCTTTGCCCTTATGGACCTTACAGTCGAGGGAACGTAGACAACCAAGTAATTATTTACAACTCCAGCTCATCGGGAGTGAGAAAGGGAGATACATGGTACTGTGAAAGCCTGTGATAGGGGGGGTTGACTTCCCAGAGGAAGTGATGCTTGAGCTGGGTTGATATTTACTAGGCAAAGAGAGGAGGGAAAAGTGTGCCAGGGAGAGGGAAGAGTATGTGCAGAAGCCTGTGTCAGAACAAAGTATGGTGGGTAGGAAAACCTGGTGGAAGACCAGAGTGGATGGAGTGGAGAGAGAAAAAAGAGTGTGGAGTGAGACAACTGGAAAAGTGAGAAGGGTAGACCACACAGGGTCTTGTAGAACATGCACAGATTTTTTACTCTGTTCTGAGAGTAAATGTGATGGTGAGTGGTTTGAAGCAGGGAACTGACAGCATCAGATCTGGGAAGGTGGAGGGAAGGATATCTCCTGATTGGAAGGATTTGCATATTTTGTTCACCATGCAGAGAACACCTCCAGAAAACCTGAACGCAGAGAAAAGGCAGACTCCCTTCCATCTGCCAGCAGGGAGCCCTTAGTACACGTTCAACAGCCTGGATGCAAGCACTGATTCTGATTCCAGCTGGGACTGGCCTGTGGCCCCCAGGGAATGACAACCATTGGAAAACATCTCACGTGCTAGTCCAGATGTAGGACATCAGCCTTCACGTTTAATTATGCAGATAGCTTCCCATTACAGGTAATTGGGCCTTTTGGTTTTCCACTGCTTCCCCCCTCCTAGGGTCATACATAACAAAGGAATTTTCCAGAAGATGGCCTGATCATGTAGACGTCCCTCATATACAACAAATGATTTTTCCAGGGTTTGCCCCACTGCCTGGAAAGAGGGCTCCTGATTGAGCTTTTTGTTTTTTACCATTGAGGCATCAGTAACCCTCACCTTCTTGTGCTCCTCCAGACTTCAGAAATCCTAAATATAGAGGCACAGAAAGGTCCCCTTCATCCCTAAAGCCCCTCCCAGTAGTCCCTGAGTAACCTGTGGAAGCTGAATGGGCTCCTGACCCCATTGTGAAGTGTAAGGAAGAAGGACAGGGTGGGGTGCTGTGGCCGAGGCACCCTCCTCCTGTCTGTTCACATGAGGCCCCCAGGCTATGGGGAAAGAACTGTGTGGACAAAGCAGAGGGCAGGAGAGCTCTGACACCTTAAAGGAAGGCTAGGAAGGGGATCAGGGCCCCAGTGGTACCAGGATCTGCCACCATCACACACCCAGAACCTTGGAAGCTTGTTCCAAGTGAGATTCTGATCCCAGATCATGAGACCCTTCCCTGAACTCCTGCCTTACAATGGAGAGACAAAGAGGAAGAGCAAGATCAGACACTTCCTTCCTTGTCACAGGAAGGGGCACCGAGCATAGGGTCGGGTGGCCCAATTCCAGTTGAGCTCTGCTCCAACCTGCTGAGTGTGATCTAGGAGAAGTCAATAAGTAATGAGGACCCTCAATTTCCCTTCCGTACAAATGGAAATAATTGATCCCTCCTACTTCCTAGAGTATTGTGAGTGTTACATGAAATAACTCTTAAACCAGTACGTTTAGGGGTGCTCTTTACTGCGTTTCAGCAAAAATATAGATGAGCATGTCAAGGTGGGGGTATTCCTACATGTGCCTGTACGTTTAGGGGTAGAGGTTAAGAGCCATGCAGCAGTCAGACTCGCTGTGTGCAACTCAGCTCTTCACTTCATATCTGTGTGACCTTGGGCAAGCTGCTGAACCCCTCTGGGCTTCCATTGTCTCATCTGTAAATTATGATAGTAACAGCCCACTTGATTGGGTTATTTTCAGGATTAAATTAGATAACATATGTGAATATTTAGAACACTGACTGGCACTTTAAACACTAACTAAATATCCCTTAATATAATTGTAGTTCAGACTTAGCAGAGAGAAGGTAGGAAGCAGCCATGGAGCTGTAAGACCTACAGGGCTGGGCTGCAACTCCTTTCTCAGTGGCTAGAAACATTGCTTCCAGAGGGTGACTGAGGTGTTGTCCCACAGGGAACAGTTGTGCTATTTCTCACAACTTTGTATGAGGCATGAACCAGGAGGTCTGGAAGGAATCTCCCCCTCTGATAGCAGAGACAGCCCTGGGACCCCATCCATTGCTCTGAGGGCCTGTGCTGGGGAGTGCTAGCCCCATCGGGTACTGCAGGTGGTTTGGCTGAATCACCACTGTGCCTGAGCAAGTAACTGTCCTGTACCTGGCTGGGCTCAAGGATTCCAGGACACAAGATTGGGACAGTTTAGGCCACAATCACATGACACTGATTCTAGTCCAAGCTACTTCCTTCTGGTGCTATCTGGAAAAGTGAAATGGCATTTATTGGGCATACATCACTGCATTGCCAGGAGCAACAGAATCAGAGGGAGTCCCCAGTGTGTAGAAGCTCATCGCTGAAGACAGGGTAGTAACTTAAGAATAGACTAATAGATCAATATTGCCAACACTGTCACTTACTTACCTGACTTATAATGTTATGTTTTATTAGTTATTAGTTTTCTTTTTTTATCACCAGGAAAAAGTTATCCCTAAATGGTTTTTCACTTTTTGAGAGAAGAGTGGAGCTGGGGGCGGGGGTGGGGGGATACTTTGGGGAGGGCTCGTGAGTCTGGAATCTGACCCTTTCTTGAGGCTAGATCTGGCTGCAAAGGAAGGAAAGCGTTAATGCACTCAGACCTCTGCTCGCTCCCCAGAGGATGTGGAATCAACTGTCTCCAGACACTGTTATTTTAAGACACTTCAAGATTTCGAAATGAATGGCTGAAGATGGAACCAGCCACAGGAAAGGCCCATCTTATTCTGACCCCTTGGTACA